CCCCAAAACCCCAAAACCCCAAAACCCCAGAGCTAAATATCTATTATTGGTTTTAAAAACTTGATAATCAGGATTAAATCATTTGTTTAGATAATTAAGATTAAGATAAAATGAATGATCTATTGACTGAGTAATTAGAAAATAAAACCTATAAAGATATTTGCTTTCCCGCTTCTCGTTTGTACAGAGTGTTGGGCTTTGACATCAATATATAAGGAAAATTGATAGTCTGTTACTCTGAGCGATTTATGATTCTTAGTCCAAGGAGGAAATTCAAACTTATTCAGCTGGTAGAGCATAAATTCAAACACACTAATGTCCTCATATATTGTCGAAGGAAGCAGGTAACCATTAATGATGGAGATCAATACTTAACATATTCAACAAGGAGAAAATATTTTGTTCACAAAAACACGGAACCCATTAATGCTAGATATTTCAGGATAGACCCTTAACATAGTCTCGTACATATTGCCAAGGAATATGAGTTTTATCATGATAAATTTTTCGTCCAAAATGACTTCAACCATTAGTTTGCAGCTAAGTTTGGTACTCATCGATACAAGTATGAAAGAATGCCTCTATCAGTCAAGATTGCAGATAAAGACGAGATCCTTCATGTTGATTGTAAAACCAAGAATTAGATTTAGGAACTGATTAGGTGCAAAGTTAAATATTGCTTGGATCCCAAGTATTTTCAAGGTAAAGATGAGGAATAAGAACTTCCAGAAGGATTGTATACAGCCCCAAACCCAGAAATACTTTATCGGACTTAATAGTACAAATTATACTGCTACGACAAGATCAAAGATGACCTGTACTTGGTATCTACAAGGTATGATGAAGAAAAACTTACAGCATCTAAGCTAATTATGATTAATAGTAAGGGAAAGGTGAAAAAGATGCTCTATCAAACATACTCTAACATTGAATTTTAAAAAATCCTAAGATTTGATTACGAACAGAATCCTTGGATCATCATGAAAGAGAATACAAAGCTGATAATGTTCAATATTTAAAAGTTATAACCATATATTATAGCTCCTTAGATTAATATTGTTGATTAGAAGTGTACCATAAGACAATAACTGAAAAATGGTAAATTGATAATCATATCATACTGTATGGCTGATTTTTAAAAAGTGATTTTCTCATTGAATCCTAGTAAATTATCATTAACATCAGGCAATTAGGATTAATCTTACTGATTATCTATTAGGAATAATTTGTATTCTAACTTTTAATTTTAATTTTTAAAAAATAATTGCATGGGGTTTTGGGGTTTTGGGGTTTTGGGG